ACAACAAAGATATGAAACCATACTCAACAACGAAGGATCACAATCCGACACCAAACGATGTTTAACACAAGTTGCTAATCTCAATTGGAAAGTACAAACCGCACACACTAGCATTTCAACATCAAACTAGCATGCTTATCAAATGGGTAAACCAAAAGTAGTTCCAAAGAACATCCAAGACTCACATTAGACCAACGAATCACAATTTAGACCCTTAGCACGATTCAAGACACCAAATCCAACATGGATTCCTAACATACCATTCTAGACATATGAAACATCAAGAAGACTCACAAATAGCCCAATAAAACAACATCGAGAGGTCAAAACATCAATACCGAGTCAAAAGAATCACGGGGAACAAATCCCCGCCACAATCCACAACGTTCCCCGCAGGTGGGGCCTCAGGTGGACCTCCACCCGCGGCTACACCAACCCACGAGAACCTTTTCCCCGCGGGTGGGGCGGCGGGTAGGGCCCTACCCGCCGTTCCGCCCGCGGGTACACCCTGTACACCAACATTATCCCTTCGGGGATTTTCAACAACAAGTCCAGAACACCCAAAATCTCACACAAAACAACAATATGACTTGAACCCAAGAATTTGCCAAGCATTGGCATTCAAGAACCCTAAGAACAAGCTCTAAACGTGCATCACCACAAGACAATGCATCAAATCTCACATTTCAACACAAGAATTCACAATTAGATGCCAAAAAATCATCATATAAGTAAGAAAATAGGTTTTGTAAAGCATGGGTTACCTTTGTAGCCTAAAACTTCTCTTTCTCACCCTTAGAAAGTCTCTCATAAAGCTCTTCTGCGACACCAACTTCATAAACAAACCAAAAGACAACAAAGATTCTATTTTTAGAAAAAGACATCTAGAAGGAGGTTAAAAACACCAAAAGAGCAAGGATCTTACCCTCCACTATGCTCAAGATGAGGAAAGTAGGAATCTTGGAAGACAACTTGCAAGATTTAGGATGCCCAAATTCTAGCTTGGAGAAGAAGCTACACCTTTCTAGAGAAAAGTTAGAGATTTTGTGTTTAGATTATAGGTGAATGAAATGAAGGGTTGTGGCTAGGTTAGCATGAACCACAAACTTTAGGTAGAAAGACATCTCTACCCTTACTAAAGTTGGAAGAATAAGGGAACAAGGGCACAACCCAAGAAGCATAAGGTACAACCCTTTGACTTTAAGTGACTAGTCAAGTTCTAGTCCCTCAACTATTGAAATTCAGGATTTTTAGGAATAAATTAACAAGGAAACTAGGATTAATTCTCTAATTAATCCTTAATTAGAGTTTGGATTTACGGGGTGTCACAAATAAGGTAACCCCGAATTTATGAACCAATAGTTGAGTTGCGCTAAGTATTCGAAGCTTTGATCATGCGTGAATTGTAGGTGTTATTAAAGGTGTCTCCCACTAAGGGAGTGATGAGATTTGGAAAAAAGGGAAAGTTAAGCCCTCGATTCATAGGGTCATATGACATAGTCGAGAAGATTGGGACGTTAGCTTACCCGTTTAGCTCTACCCATGGAGTTGGAAAAGGTACAATGTTACACCTTAACATTAGATTTAATCCTATGGGTTTGTTCTTAGATGTGTTTTCACTACTACAGAAAACGGTTTTAACGTCGGTTAAAATACCCCATTTAACGTCGGTTATCTTTCGACGTCGACTTTAGAGACGTCGTAAGTAAATGATACGACGTCGGTTAAACAACCGACGTCGTATGTAACATACGGCGTCGGGTTTTAGGGTAAATCCGACGCCGTATATTATTTATATTTTAAAAAAAATAATAATTAACATATGGCGTCGGTTATTACTTAAAAACCGACGCCGTATATATTTATTTTTTTTTTAAGAAAAAAATAATTAACATACGGCTTCGGAGTTTAGGTAAAAGCCGACGCTGTATATATTTATTTTTTTTTAAGAAAAAAATAATTAACATATGGCTTCGGAGTTTAGGTAAAAGTCGACACCGTATATATTTATTTTTTTTAAGAAAAAAAAATAATTAACATACAGCTTCGGAGTTTAGGTAAAAGCCGACGCCGTATATATTTATTTTTTTTTAAGAAAAAAAATAATTAACATACGGCTTCGGAGTTTAGGTAAAAGCCGACGCTGTATATATTTATTTTTTTTAAAAAAATAACATACGACGTCGGCTTTATCCTAAAAGCCGACGTCGTATGTTATTATATTTTTTTTTATTATATTCGTTTTATGGTTTCTACCCAACCTGTATCAATTTTCAAATCCTGCGCAGCTAGCAATTTAACATTCAACATCAACTAATTTATTAAACTAATTCAAACTATTAAACATGAAACTAATATAAAGAACATAATTCATTAAGCTAATTCAAGCTACTAATTAAACATAAAACTAATATAAGTACCACAATTCAACAAAACTACTAAACATTACTCCAATAAACATAAACTAATTTTATACGTAAAGTATCAAACTATTAAACATGAAACTAATATAAAGAACACAATTCATTAAACTAATTCAAGCTACTAAACATAAAACTAATATAAGTATCACAATTCAACAAAACTACTAAACATTAAGCCAATAAACATAAACTAATTTTAAATGTAAAGTATCAACTAAGAAGCATTTTATTAAGTCATTCATCAATAAGAAACTTAGACCATTTGTCTCTAACTTCATCAATCTCTTTTTTGTTGTAGGGCAATCTTCCTTGTCTTTCCAAAGCCTACAAAGTTCAAAAGAAATAAAATTAATAAATAAGCAAGTATTTTTAAACATTTGAAGCAAAAAGATATATTATGAAATTACTTGCCTTATCCATTCCTTTGCTTAGGTTGTTGGAAACAATTTCCAACATGAACTTCATCACATAATAACCACATTCGGTGGTTCCCTTTTGTATAGCACACTACATTGAATTACATTCAAATTAAAATAAATTAATAAAAAAAAACAATAAGTTTGGATGTTTTACAATGTGAATGAAGTACTTACCGAACATATAGTCCATTTTGGTGAACGATTTTGTATCTTTCCACTCATCATGTTTGTTGCAGTCATACACCTATTAATATAAGACATAGAATATATATAAATACTTGGCATCACTAGTTTAATGATAACTACTAATTAATTATATAAATTTACATACGTTTCCATTATATGTTTAATGTCTTCACGCGGCCCATGACCAAGTGAATCAAACCAAAAAATTTCATTTAGTCGAGGACAAATAGCCATCAACATCCAATGCTCACTACAAATAAATAATTTATTAGTTTTAAGTGAATATAATATATAATAAAAATATATTATATATAAGTACTTTTATTTAAAACGTAATTAATACTTACTTGAGAACATATGGGGCTAAGTATACCACTTTCTTCCCAGACTGCATGGTGGAATTTATATACGATTTCCTGTCTTCCATATTATTCATTTGTGGTTGAATCCAATATGGATCTAGGAAGCCATACATGTCTTTTGATGCCAACTCAAAATCAATATAAACACCCCTATTCACAAACACAACCAATTATATATAGATTACCAACTATATAAATATAAAACTATTATGAATAAATAATACTAAAGAACTTGTTACTTCATAAAGAACTGAACTAGAGAAACATCGATGGTCTCCATGTGAAAAAGAAACAAAGTCTTATGATGGTATATCTCAACTTTTTAGGCAATATGCCTCTAACAGCCACCGGCAATAGTTGTTGCATTAAGACATGACAATCATGAGACTTCAACCCCACCAACTTCAAATCTTGCATATTAACAAGTCTACTAATATTTGATGAATACCATTGTGGTACCTTTACTCCACGTAAACACTCACAAAAACTTATTTTCTCCTTTCTTGATAAAGTATGAGCAGCCGGAGGCAAATATGTTCTCTTATCCCCGCAACGTGGAGCTAATGTAGGTCGTATACACATTTCAACCAAATCCAATCTAGCATTGAGTCCATCTTTAGTCTTACCTTTTATGTCTAAAAGAGTTCCAACAAGACTATCACATACATTTTTCTCCACATGCATCACATCAATACTATGTCTCACATCTAGTGTCTTCCAATATGGAAGATCAAATAATATAGATTTCTTTTTCCATGGACTCTTCTCATTTGTAGGTACCTTTTTTGACCTCTTACCTCTTTGAGATTGAAGCTTTTGAGTCTTACCAAAAGTAACATTGATGCATTCAACTCGTTCATAAACTTGATTCCCTGTTAATGGTTGTGGAGCATCTGTATAGTCTTGGACCCCATTGAATGCCTTTTTAAATTTTCTATAAGGGTGAAATTTATCAAGAAATCTCCGATGCCCCATGTATACAGTCTTTCTACCATGAACCAGTTGATGATAACAGGTATTATCTTCACATATGGGGCATGCCTTATGACCTTTGACACTATATCCAGACAAGTTTCCATAAGCTGGAAAGTCATTGATTATGCAAAAAAGCATTGCATGCAACTTAAAAGTCTCCTTCCGGTATGCGTCAAACACTAACACACCTTCATCCCATAATTGCTTCAAGTCATCAATCAAAGGCGCCAAAAAAATATCTATATCATTACCTGGTTGTTTTGGCCCAGAAATCATCAAGCTTAATAATATGTATTTGCGTTTCATACACAACCACGGGGACAGATTATAAATTATCAACATAACTGGCCACGAGCTATGCTTGCTACTTAGGTTCCCGTGGGGGTTAATACCATCAGTACAAAGTCCAAGTCTAAGATTTCTCGACTCGTGGCCAAATTCAGGATATGCATTATCAAATGTTATCCATTGAGAAGAATCAGCCGGGTGTCGAAGCTTGCCATCGGAAATTCTTTCATCTGCATGCCATGATAAGTTCTTCGCATCGCTTGGATTTGCAAACATGCGCTTAAATCTTGGAAGAATTGGGTGATACCACAAAACTTGAGCTGGTGGACTTTTCAAACGTACTTTACTACTCTCTCTTGTTTTATAACGAGATGCCCCGCATATTGGACATGCATGCAAGTCTTTGTAATCATTCCTAAACAATATGCAATCGTTAGGGCAAACATGTATCTTTTTGTATCCCATACCCATGGGACACAACATCTTTTTGGCATCATATGTACTCTTGGGAAGTTCATTACCATCTGGAAGCATATCATTGACTATTTTAAGTAACGCAGTAAAGCTCTTGTCGCTCCACCCATTCCCAGCTTTCAAGTTGAATAATTTTAATACAGCAGATAATCTAGTATATTTACTACACCCTGGCCATAAAGGTTGTTTTGAATCATTCAATAATTCATCCAACTCATTTGACCGATTGGTAAACTCTTCTCCAACATCGCGAAACATTTCATCCAACCGATCTTCAAACTCATCATCTTCATTGTCAACATACATGTTAGATGTTGTAGCCACATCGCTTTCACCGTGCCAAATCCATTGTGTATAATATGGATTAATCCCATTAACGATTAGATCATCATATATGTCATCTTCACCTAACCTTTTCTGATTACAACACTTCGTACAAGGACAGAAGAACCTCTTATTACTATTCGGAAGGTTATTATTTGCAAACTGTAAAAAATTTCTAACTCCATCCTCATATTCCTGACTAAGTCGATTAGCTTTCATCCAACTTTTATCCATCACAAGCCAATCTAAAATAATAATAACCTAGTTAAACATTTGTTAACAACATTTTAACAAATTTATATAATTATAACTACTACAACAAATACACTATATTCATTTCGGCCAATTAAATAATTAAGCTAATATTACATTTTGATTTAAAATATTACATTTTTTTCATAAGTATCATAATTTCTTTCATTAGTAAGAATTAAACAATTTATTCATTATTAGAATTACATTTTTCTCACAACATTTTCCTACTTGGTAAGTTATTATTTGGTAAGTTATATACTTGAAAAAGGCAAATTATGGACCAAGATTCACCTAGCATGGTGGGCCTTGGTCCAAAACAACGTCATTTTATATTGAGTATCAACTAGTGCAATATATTCAATAACATCATCATGTATTATACACACTTCTTAGCTTGTTCAATCAAATTATTTGGTAAGTTATATACTTGAAAAAGGAAAATTATGGACCAAGATTCACCTAGCATGGTGGGCCTTGGTCCAAAACAACGTCATTTTATATTGAGTATCAACTAGTGCAATATATTCAATAACATCATCATGTATTATATATACTTCTTAGCTTGTTCACTTAAATTATTTAGTAAGTTATATACTTGAAAAAGGCAAATTATGGACCAAGATTCACCTAGCATGGTGGGCCTTGGTCCAAAACAACGTCATTTTATATTGAGTATCAACTAGTGCAATATATTCAATAACATCCAAAACAACGTCATTTTATAGACATATTTGTTCTATATGTCTATAAACTAAACCTTATTCCTTAATGTTCATACACAATTATTCCTAAAATTTCAAGATATACACAATAATATATAAACAAAATTTCATAAAATTCCACATATACACACAACAATTCATAATTGACCCACTAACTTATAAAATTAAATATATATACACAATTATTCCTAAAATTTCGAAAATATACACAATAATAATATATAAAATTCGAAATTCAAAAAATATATATACATAACCATTTTTAATTTATAATATAAATATATATATATATATATATATAAATATATAATAAAAACTAATTTTTAATATACAATATAATATATATATATATAAATACGTACGTACCTTACAGAACCAGCGGCGACGGCGAGCGACAAGCGGGTTGCGGCGGCGTCGACGTGCGGCAGTCGCGAGGGCGAGGACGACGTAGGGTGACGGCGAGCACCGAGGCACTGTTGCGAGCGATGCCGAGGACGACGTCGACGTGCGGCGAGCGAGGCCGAGGGCGACGGCATTGGGCGGCGGCGGTATACGGCGTTCGACGATGAGTGAGGACGATGAGCGTTGAGCGTTGAGCGATGAGTGAGACAGAGCAGATGATGAGACGATGATCGATGTGATGAGATCTGAAATGTGAAGACTACACGTACGTACTGTTAGGGTAAATAAAATATATACGGCCGGTTATTTTACGTATCCGACGCCGTATAATTATATTTATTTTTTTTTAAATTTGAGTATACGGCGTCGGCGTTATACGTTGCCGACGCCGTATACCATTTAATTTTAATTTTTTTTAATTAATGGAGATACGGCGTCGGAGAATACATCTCCGACGCCGTATCTTCTATTTATTTTTATTTTTTTTTAAAATTTGAGTATACGGTGTCGGCGTTGTACGTCGCCGATGCCGTATACTATTTTTTTTTAATTAATGGAGATACGGCGTCGGAGAATACATCTCCGACGCCGTATCTTCTATTTATTTTTTATTTTTTTTAAAAAAAGTTTGAGTATACGGCGTCGGCGTTGTACGTCGCCGACGCCGTATACCATTTTTTTTAATTAATGGAGATACGGCGTCAGAGAATACATCTCCGACGCCGTATCTTCTATTTTTTTTTTTAAATTTGAGTATACGGCGTCGGCATTATACGTCGCCGACGCCGTATACCATATATCTATGTATTTTTTTTTTATTTGAGATACGGCATCGGCGACGTATAACGCCGACGTCGTATCTCGTATTTATTTATTTATTTATTTTTTTAATTAATATACGGCATCGGCCATACCAAATAACCGACGTCATATGTATTTTAAAAAAAATAAAAAATAATTTTAAATATTTAACGTCGGATTTTCAAAAAACCGACGTTATAATGTAGTTGTCCGTTTTCTGTAGTAGTGTTTGGGACCGAGTGTAGGTGCACGACGTGTTCCATGTCTCGCAGCTGAAGAAGTATATCCCGGACATCACCCATGTAATCCAACCTGAGGAAGTAGAGGTAGATGAGTCCCTCACTTATGAGGAAAGGCCAATTCGGATCCTCGATCACAAGACCAGGGATACGAGAAGGAAGAAGGTGAAGCTAGTTAAGGTTTTGTGGTCTAATTAGTTGTCTGAGGAGGCCACTTGGGAGACCGAGGAGGAGATGATGAGCCGTTATCCGGCCCTCTTTGATCAAGGTAACTAGTTAAGTTCTTAAGTTCAGTTAATAGATTCATTTGTGTAGTTGTTTAGACTTTAGTTAAGTTAGACAAGAACTCAAGAGATTTCTAAACCTTCCAAAGTATTCCAACAGAAAATTTTCAACCTTTTGGTTATATCTCCCTTAATCTTCGAGAACTTGATCCATTCATTTCTTCTAAGTTTTGGGACGAAACTTCTTTTAAGGGGGATAGAGTGTAACAACCCAAAATTTTATTTTATAAATCCAATTTTAAGAAATTTCGAAAATAGCTATTTTAACTCCATTAATTTTTATTTTTTTTACGATCAATTGGTGTTTGAATAAACTATTTTGTCACAGTTTAAATTAATCCGACACCAAAACTTATTTTATTCCAAAATCCTAAATTTTTGGGTACTTCGCGTACCAAGTTTTAAATCGAGAAATCAATCTGAGTCAAACCGGGAGGATTCAAAAAGATTTTAAACAAGGGTTCATCTAGATAACCTTTTGAGAAATTCATTTTTAACCCCAAAGTATTTAAAATAGCATTTCTAGCCCTTGGCCCATGGAGCATGGTTGACCACTAGACATCCAAAGCCTTTCCTGCCTCATCTTTTGCCCATAGAAATTACTCTTTTGCCCTCACCCAATCATTTGCTTTCTACCTAGGGTTTTCCACCCTATATAAACAACACTATTCATTTGTTAAACTTTGATCTCCAACCTTGCCTCTCCTAAACCTTTGTCTGATAGAAGCAAAAGAAGAATTTGCAGTAAGTTTTCCTTCACTCATTTTCCATCTTAGCTTAAGGGTTCCTCTCTATTTTAGCTTCAATTTCCGAGGTTTCTTAGTCTTGGCTTGTGTTTGAGATGTTTAGGTGGTGAAGGAGGTGGTGTTTGAATAGAGAGGAGGTAGAGATCCATACAAGAAAAAGAAGCTACAAGAGGTATAACCCCATTGACTCCTTCTTAAGTTTTGGCTCTGTGAAGCCTTTGTTATTGAGTAGAAATGAGTAGAAATTATGAGATTTTGTTGTGTTTATGCTTGGAAGTGATCTAGTATTTGTATTTGAGTTGTTAAGAATGTTTTGGACTATTTTTGGAATATTTTGCATATGAAAATGTCATCTGGTGCACACACAGTGTGCACCAGACCAGACCAGCGGCCCTAGCCGCAGCCCATCAGGAGGGCCGCCGGCTAGAGTTGGAGTTACACGGGACTAGGGCACGACCCTGGAAGAGGGCCGCCACCTAGGCTCGTTATTGTAACGGGGCATATAGGGCGGCTCATGAGGAGCCCCACCCAGGCCCCTTAGTATTGATTTGGGACAAATCTGTGCAGTGGCCGGGCCCTTGTGGCTCAGCTACGTGTCGTTTCGAGCCAGATGTCACGGGCCCTTGTGGCTCGGTACCTTGGGATCGTCTCGACGCACGTTTTGGCTTTGATTTCGTTGAATTTTGATAAAAAATGAGCATGTTATGATGAATTTGTTGAGGAAATTACTACACAGTGCATATTTGCTTAGTTCTCTGTGTATGAGAAATGCTTAGCTTTGTAATCTGATGTTATTTTTATTGAGTAGAGAAGCATGATTATTTGAGAATATGATTTATTATGCAAGCATGACTAATATATGATCTTTGCTCAAGGAGAATTGAAGCATATTTGTTAATATAAATGTATAGAATTTGCTATGTTGCAAACCGAGCATGATATTATATTCTTGAGTATTTTATGGTTTATATACATGGTTTAGAAGCATGTTATAGAGTATTTTGCATCTCACATATGTCATATTTCAAGAATGCATAAGGGGCCAGCGTGAGCCCAAGTATTACTTTCAAAAAGTAATGAGCATGTAATATATCATTCTTTGTTGCATTGAGGAGTAGTAGAGTTGTTGCATACATGAGATTGATGCATGAGAGATATATCTATGTATTATCTATATCGGTGAGGTTTTGGAGGATCCCGTATGGACTATGTCCTCTCGGATGATTTTATGGACATTGCGGTCCTATTATATGTAACGAGACGTATTCCCACGTTACGAGGTTGGAAACTGCCCGCCAGGCTTGGAATCCTGGCCAGGGGTTGTGCACACTAATAGTTCGGTACCTGATTCCACAGAGTGAGAACCACGAGATTGGTTCCGTAGACGGTAGGAGATATTGGGTCGGATTTACACCGCTCCCGATGGGGCAATTCACGCTACGGTGAAACCCTGAGTCGTCTACGAGTGAGAAGAAAAGAAAGTGAGTCAAGAGAGACTCAAGAGAATAGAAAGTGAGTCAAGAGAGACTCAATGAGACCTCCACAGAATGTACTCTATTTTTACAACTGAGTGTACATGAGTATATATTTATAGTATTGCATGAGATTGCATATGAGTATGCGTAGAGTATTGCACGAGATTGCATGTGACTATAGTATTGCACTAGATTGCATTCGAGTAGAATATCGTAT